AACAAAAAAAAAACAACAAAAAACAACAAAAAACAAAGAAAAAGAAAAAAAAACGGTCCGCCTACAGTGGTTGTCGGAAGACTAGAATGCGCGTCCTCAAAGAATTAACAGGAGGGCTGGCGTGACCCTGAATGCTAGGACCAACTAGCCATGTGTGGCAAGCAACCTAACAGAAAGAAGGGCGTACACAAGAACTCATTTTTTTGTTCTTGGGAATCGAACTCACGTGTTTAACGTCGAAAAAGAGAGCATGACAGCTACATCAAGAAGCATTAGGACAATGAAAGTAATATTGACAATAATTATGATTAATGATAATGTGAGTAATAAATGTAATACAAATGATAATACAGACAATGATCGTGGCTCGATGCGAAAATGTCAGTGATAATAAAAATAGCCACGATAATAAGACAGACAAAGGTTATGAAAACAACATTATCCCATTTGCAATGGCTCAGCAAATATTTTACTGTAGTTGTTGTTGTTGATTATGTTGTTGGTGGTGTTGTTGTTGTCGGTGGTGGTCGCACCGGTGATGACGATGATGGTGGTGGTGGTAGTAATAGCGGTGGTGTTGACGATGGTCATGTTTAAGACAGAGATTTCGCTAACTGTCAGTTCAAAGGACAGATAGGAAATATTCCTGAAAGGATGAAAAGACGTTAACTGAACCAAAATCAGATTTGAACCTCCGATTCCTCGAGGCAGAGCACGTTCGTAATATGTTCCACTACAGCGGCTGCAAGCCTATCATCAGTCAAGATATAAACAAAGAAACAAAATAGACACGTAGAAGCACCTGGTAAAGTTCGTCGCTGTACGTGGAAGACCAGTACAGGTAGTTGAAGTCAGGAGACATGGCCAGACCACTTAGACCAAGGTCCAGATGAAAGCGCTCGCCGTTGATGATGATGTCCTGGGAACCTTTCCTCGTCATTGACCTGGGGGACCAGGAGTGTCGGGGGAAGGGGGGGGGGGTAGAAACAGAGTTTATGTTTTATTTTGGTCATATGCCCGTCTCAGTGGGTAGTATCTATAGTGGAACGGTTAAGCTTTTCGTCTAAAATCGAGAACTGCGTGGTGGATTTATATTCTATCCGGTGGTAAGGGAGCTTCGCCGCTGCTGAAGATTCCTGTTTGGGGACAGTATTTATTGAGTATATCGATCTTTCAGCTTGAACGATACATTTTTCTCACGCCGTGTTTGACCGTGACAGGTAAGGTTGAAGTCAGCCTCTTAAATGATTAAAATTCGTTTCAAAATGATGTAAATTTGTGTATTAATATCTACATTAGAAAGTATAATATTTTATTGAGTGACGTTGTATATCATCTGGGATTGTGTAACCAATAAAGTCCGAGATTGCTCTTGCAAGCAGGGTGGAAACAGTCCAGCACCTAAATGATTTTGAATTCATTCGATGAGGGCTTACAATCATATTTACAAAATATACTTCGCTATACAGCATGTCTCTTTCCAGTCTGTTGCACACTTACTTTGTCCCTGCGTTTCTCAATGTCAGAACTGTGAATGTTTATATTTTGTGAGTGTCTTTGTGTAGATCTCAGAGAGGGAGAGAGAGAGAGAGAGAGAGAGAGAGAGAGAGAGAGAGAGAGAGAGAGAGAGAGAGAGAGAGAGAGCCTGGCATGTGTGGCCCCTTATCTTATTTGTGAGGCTGTCCGAAACTTTAAATGAAACTTGTCACTACTTTGTTTTAAAAGTGATCACCACTGTTTGTATAATCTGTAAAAAAAGGCGCTTAGGTCCAAGAAAGTAGCAGCTCTACCCCTAAATGTACACATCTAACGTCGTAAAAAATACAGCGATAATAGAAGAATGGTCAAATAAAAATGTTCCTGGGGTCATACATTTGTTCAAGCATAAAGAAAAAAATTCTCATGGAAATTTCCAGCATCTCTTTGCTATGTCAGGTGAAGATGCAATGAACAAAAAGGAAATGTACCGCTGGTATTCTTTGTTTATTGTGAAACTAAAGAATTTTTTGTAACATGTTCTATGTTCAGTACGTCAGAATTGTTTTATATGAATGAAAAAAGATATTTTGTTGTTGTGAAATAATGTTTTTCACACACAACACACGACTACGTGAGCTCAATTCAGACCCGGAAACGTTCGCTTTGTTGAGTACACTTTCAGTGTCTTTCTGCTGGGATGTAATATTTTACATAGAGCCCAGTTGGGCCCTGAGGACACAGGGTAAAGCAGTCAGTTCTGTAAATTATTCAAATCGTGGCAACGGAGACAGAACAATTACCTAACAGAGGGTATGTCCCTATGTCAATGTGGCCAGGGCCCAGAGAACAACCATCATATCCTGCAGCAACGCATTCGCGTCACAACACCAAGGGCACAGACATGCCAATATGCAACACCACATGAGAGAAAACTATTAGGGTAGCTTCGGGGACCTAAAGAGAACTATGTAGATTATGCACTCCACTAGATAAACTGACTGGCTGTCATCAAGAAGAAGAAGAAGAAGAAGAAGAAGAAGAAGAAGAAGAAGAAGAAGAAGAAGAAGAAGAAGAAGAAGAAGAAGA